CGAAAGATTCTGTAAAAATCCTATGGGGGATGATAAGCTTTAACTTTGTTAAATCGCCCATAATAAAACTTTGACCAGCTGCCTGTGGTCGACTAACTATTGGAAACATCATTCTAAAAGTTGTTACACAAAAGAAAACATTTTCACAACTGAAATCATATGGGTACCCATAGATGGGAACGAAACAGCCGGGTGGTTTAGACGCATCCAAACTCACTTTCCAGTTTTTATGCCCGGACTACGTGAACTTTTAAAAAACACATAGGGTGACGGTCCGCGTAAAGTGACCGCCGGGATTTGATAATTGATAAGTAAACCGTGTAATCCGGCTGGCGATCCAGGAGCCTGTGTCCAAACGGCTTGAGCCAAACCGAACACATCTTGTACGCGAGAGTCGAAATCCCCTCTGAGGAAGTAGAAAGGCTGCGATTGAATCGGGGATGGAACGTATTAGGTTGATTTGAGTTGGACAGATAGGTACGGTGAGGAACAATATTCAAAACCTCGTACCGCATATAAGAAGGAAAAAATAAACGAATTGTGAAACGTCCCAGAACGGTGATCCTTGCGGCTCTGTTGTAAGAGGTGATATGATATTAACAACAGCGTAAAACACGTAGCCAGAGAATCGATTTCATGAGCTTCGTTTGTAAACCTAGCGCAGCTTTAGTACTGCATGATTTAACTGGGTTCAATACAGGTTTGTACATTAAGTTAGAAAGCTCCTGTGGTCGAAGTTTGCAAGATGTAACAAATGATATTCTCTTATGACGCAATCATCTTAATAGGGTTCTGTAAAAATCCCCGGTGACAATGGTTTGCGGACACAGAATCCGATTGAGCGAGAAAACAATCGAGGAATAACTCTAGTAAATGCACCTCAGTTGAAATCTACCCACAGAATAATTCACAGCAAAACTACAACGCGACAGACTATTGAAAGCACGGGTAATTTGATAATATAAATCGCGGACAATTGATTTAAATAAAACTTAATCAAGTAAGTCCTATGTGTTGTTTGGCTCATACAGACGTCATCAGACATATTCCTGCAATAGTTTTAAATGAAATATTTTAGAAATGCATAATCTGAAAGATTAAAGGAAAAACGAGAGACGGTTAACAAGCCAAATCAACATTGATCAAAATCTGAGTCTAATCTAATTTCAAATGGATTCGGGTGGGAATTAGCAGTTCCAATATTTCACTGAGTCGTCCCTGGACTGAGTCAACGATGGGAGCAAAAACAAGCGGGAGTGGAACAGCACACTGTCTAACATGGGCGATATTACTGATTGTTATGTAACACCAGGGACAGGGAGTGTTACCTCAAAAGACACTGTTGACACATCACGATACGGATAGTTACGTCAACGCAATATGCGGGGATAATATCTGCCCCAATTCGGCGGTACGGTCCGAAAGCTTCAGCATAAGTCTGGGATTGTCCATTTGACCATTTCGGTTATGTTCAAAGGAATTTCGAGTGTCTTTTCGTCAGTACTTAGCCATGGATTACCAATAGGATGAGAAAATTCCATAGAGGGAATTCGTCGTGCATAGAGCAAATGAAGCGTGAACTGAACTGTACGGCTGTTTTGACCTGGTTGGGTCTCATCAGCAGTGCAAATCCATCAACCCAACTGGGGGTTGCTACACGGCTGATGATACCCAAACACATCGGAACAGTTCACGTTTCATTGGCTCTATACACGAAGAATTTCCTCTCATACTCTCATGCCAGAATGAAAAAAG